AACAAAAATTGTTTACTACATGGACTCGCGAACCAACTTTTCTTTTAATAAAGTTTTATAATATTTTTTTAAAGAATATAAGTGTTCTTTTTGAGTACATGATAAAAAACTTTTGTAAAATATGTGACGAGTATATTTCGAAGGTATTACCAAAAAAATATTCTGTTGAAGACAACCATTACTTAAAAAGAGAAAAGCAAATTGAAAAACAGCTTTTCTTAGTGGTAGAATGCTATTTTTCTGTGTGTACAGTGTTAAGAATCAGAAGTTCTCTGTTTCCTAATCGAAACGCGCTTAGCTATATCAAATCATGTTAATTCAACCAATTTCTATTTTTCTGTGTAGAGGAAAAATCTTCATTTGATAAATAACTCCGTCTTTCGTTGAAAAACGTTACAACGGAATTGGCGATGAAGAAGGCGACCGTGGTCCATTCCTCTCTTTCCCTCTTGCGAGTAACTTTCGGCGAAGCGTGTAATTTTACTAATGATCCGATTCAGTTGTCAACGACGTTGGCATCCTGGGCCCCGCGCCTCACAATTAGAATGACAAATGAGCGGTGTGGAGCCGGCTTAAGGAGGTGCGCGCGACGCGACACATCGTCCACCGCGGAGCGCCCGACGGGCTTAGAACACGAAGGTGGGATACATGTAAACTGGAGGAGAGGCTGGCACCAAACCACCTTCGACTAGTCACTCCTCCGTCTTCACGGAGATTAATGGTGGAAGATGGTATGCAACGAGAGAGCGAAACAGGCCCTCTGTTCTATCCGATCGGGAGGTGGGGCCCGCGTTCGCGAGCTTGCAGCCCCGGCGACGATATATTCTCTTCCGATGCCGTTCTTCAACTCGGCTTAGTGACTGTTATGCTGCATATGTGCGCGATTGTACCGCGCGCTTCACGAGCGGGCGTCGCCGTAGCGGCGAACACCACGGTATTTCAATTAATAATATCGTGGGTGTCGAGAAAAAGAGGGAATGCATCGTCGGAGAGTCAGGACCGATCAGATCTCCGAGGACCAATCATGAATCTTGTCCCCTGGTGCATGAACTCGTTGGAAGAGAAGATTGAAGATCGCCTCCAAGTACTGAAAAATTATTTACTTTTCGTGGTTTTATACTAAGGAGGAAAATTACATGACTGATAAGTAAGATTGAATATTTTTTAACCCACATAGTACAGAAAATTCAAAAAGAATTCAAAAAGAATTCAGTCGTGTGTCACCAATTCTGAGTTCATTTTCATATGCAAAAAGAATTATTTTTGCATCTAAAAATGAACTCAGAATTGGTGATATACGACTGAATTCTTTTTGAATTCTCTGTGCTATCCGGGAAGTTTCATGATTGATGCTCTGAGTTCCCCAGTTGAATTATACACATGTGATATTCTATTCGTAATCAGGCGACTTAATAGAAAAAAAAAGAAACCCGACGAGACTTTAAATGTAAATCACACGTTATAATTAACAGCGCACAGAAATCGCTCGTGGAGAATCTTAAATATCACTAATAATCGCCCACATCTCGAGTAGACCAGTCTGCGCATCGCATGTGCGGTCGCGCAAACGCATTATCCTTGCAAATGGAAGCAACCCAGGTCGCGCATACACATATTCGCCGGCGATTCTCCCGCGGAAATTCTCCGGCACCGGCGACAGGGAGAATATAGAGCGATCACCCCGCGGAATCATCGTCGGGGTGGGAGCGAGCGCGCGCACATATGGAGAGGCAATTTACGCGAATTTCTACTCGCGGCGCGCACTGCTTGTCGCCCCGGAAAATTATTACGCATCGTGCGCGCGCGATTATCGCTAATAGCCGCGGGCCGCCCGATTCTGTGTCGTATCGCGAGCAATGCGTCGAGACGCCGTTTAAATAACGCGTAACGACGGCGCACGCGAGGCGCCTGGAAAAATCGCCGGACGCCGATCGATTAAAGCGTTCTGCGAGGAGAGGACGAGAAGTGCACGTTAAGTAATTAAGTCGTAATGAAATTCCGTGCGATCAACAACGAGCCTCGCTGCGGGTGTTACGCGCGCGATCGTTTGCATATTATTCAAAGTGATACCGCGATCGGTCTAGTTGTGCAATAAATCCGCCGGACTCTGTGTCATTGGACTCAGATTAATCGTGTGGCCGCGATGGCAGATAAGTGGTAAATTCACGACGGTAATTATGGAAACGTGACGCAACTATGTACCATATTGAAAGATAAATAATTATTGATCGTATTAAAAGATATGCTTTTTCTAGCAAGAAAAAAAAATAGTTCGCAAAACAAAAGAACTCATATTTTCAAGTAAATTGTAAAAAGTAAAGTAATTTAGACGAGGTAAGACGCCATGACAAAAATTATACTTGTTGCTCTCTTGAAGTGAAGCAGTAAAAATGTTTCGGATTAAATCAGTAAAAAAATGAAGACGAGGATTTGAATCAACTATTGCAAGAAAATTTTTGTCAAACATAACAGGAGCTTGGCGAACCATTTAGTGTCACCCAACAAACGATTTCCAATCGCTTGCATAAGCTGGGAAGAATTTAGAAGAATTAATTTGTACACTAATATAAAAACCAATATTTTATATATAGCCTTTTATTTTATTATTATAACGTATTGTGCGCGAGGCGTATACAATTTTAAAAACCTCCTACAAGAATTTAATAGAAAAATGACAAATTACATTTACCTTTGCATTTACCTAATAATATCGGTTCCGTTATTTCGAGCAGATTTCTGCGGATCGTAACGAGACGGCCCAAGATTTGATTTCTCGAGATATTGATAGCTCGTTAACGATTCAACGTGAATCGAGAAGTATATGGTCGTATCTAGAGAAGAGGAGTGGGTGAGGTAGGCTCTCACGCATATGCCAATTTATGCATACTTGGCTGGACAACACCCACATGGCTTCGCCAGTCCAGATGCGTCGGAGAGCTATCGATTGGCGCGGCGGGGATCTTGTACTTCGGATCTTCACGAGATGCAATATCGAATTCTCCGTGAAATCGAATCTCCCCGACGTCGAGACGACGCGGCCACTTTTGTCCATTTCCCATTTTCCCATTTTCTTATGTTGATTTTCCTCTCCAAATTTACAGACTTCAACTTAATCTTTTATTGAAATGTTTAGTGGTGTCGCGAAAGAGTGCACAAAAATCTCATCCAATTGACACTATGATTATTACGTAAGTGTAACATATTAGCATCTTTGGAAGCGTTACACATGTAATTACAGTTTACACATTACAGTGCTACACATGTATATTTTATTAATTACGCAAAAAAAAAAATGGCGCCACTGAAGGCTTTTTCGAAAAAGCCATGATAGCAAACGTACTAAAGGACTTACGAATTAATAAATAACAAAGGAATCTTCCGAAACGATAACTCGGTGTTCGTTTTTGAACAAAACTCGCAATTTTATCCGTATAATCCTACGGTAATCCCACGAGAACGAACTCTCGCCCCTGACAGAGGGACAATGCTGGAGGCTACATCGATTTGGGGTGCGAGGGAGACCTGGCGTTTTGCCATTCCTTTTTCGTTTTACGGCTCGCGCGTTCTCTCTCTCTCTCTCTCTTTCTCTCTCTGGAATTAGTCCGGGTTCGCGATATTCGCGACACGAGTGTCTGCGTCTGGCGATGTCTGGAGAGCTGGTTATTTTCGTGCCAGACGAGTCGCAGACGTCGCGGCATCCCCGGAGACACATCGGCAGGCTAATTTAACCTTAACCCCTTCGCACCCTTTCCATTTCCCGCGACGACAATCCCCCTCCCCCTCTCCCCCGTGGTCGTCGTCGTCGTCGTCGTCGATGGTGGCGGCGACGGTGAATGCTGCCTCCTCGGTAGGAAAAGCTCGTCCTTTTCTGCGCGTGAATGATCCGCCAACATTCCCCCGAGTCTAGACTCGCGAGGTGACTTATATAGAAAGCAATAAAATTCGCGCCTTTTCAAAACCGTTCCGATATAATTCAAGAGAAGCCTATATTGTTAACAAACTGAAACAATAACGATATTTATTACGAGTGATAACGACATTTTTTGAGTAAAACTTATAAGCAAAGTACAAAGTTTAAATAAATTAATCTGGCTATCAAACTAAACCGCGTTTTAGTTAACAAAATTACTGGTTCTTAGAATTCTGTTTACACAAGAAACAAAGATTCTGTTCTCTCGACCAGTTCCCTGAACTAACGCTTTGTTCGTTCTTTGTCAGGTTAATTGAAAGTTAATCAAAATCCTCTCATTCATGTGTCGTTTGCCATTTTCATCTTATTAAGAGGAATGTCATATTTGAACTCTTTACCGCGAGTATTGTGATTCGAGGGTTATAATTTTAGCATTTTAAACACGCGCATTCTTGCATCGCGTCGGTGCACCTCGTGTGTTATTAAGGATGTGAGAAAATTCTAAGGAGTATAAGGTCACTGGAAACGCGATGAACAACGCGTTCCTCAAAGACTCTCTCACGCTGTAGCCCGTTTAACGGCATTTGCATGTGCGACAAGCGTCGCAGATCCTAGTCGCAAGTGCATCGTTCTGTGAATACACCGTTATTCTTGTGCTAAGCCTTGATGCTTGCTTTGATGTCGTCGTCCTCTGACCAGTTCAGGACACAACCCCGTTCTTTCCTCGCGTCTCGGTCAATAAGAAACTTCGATATTTAGCCGCGCTCGGCGGGGCTTTTGTGCGTCTGTAAACTTTCCCGACGATCGTTCGCATACAGAAAAAAAGATTTGGTTGAATTAACCAAATATCTGGTCGAATATGAACGATCCAGAAATTTGTATTCAATTTTATTTCTTATGCATCTTTGTTGCACTTGTTATATTATTCTTATTTGTATTATTCCCACATTTATCCGCGTTTAACAATAAGTCAATCCTGAAGGATTCCTCGCGGACATCATTTTTCCAGTTGCGCGACATATCCGCTAAACGGAACCGACACTCTTCTCAACACAGGAAGCATCGTCCGCGATTCATCGAGTTAACTGACCTGTCCATTAACAGCACGTTATCGCCGACCCTCTTGTGGCAGTAGCCCCATATTGATATCGCGTTGAAGGTGATGTTCATGGCAGAATACTCAATGGGCTCGTCCGCCGTGCCTCCAGCCTTTCCGCTCACCTGCGTCACGAATTCGCCCTGGAATTCCGCAGGAAAGTAACAGCCCACCATGAACTGAGGGTCGTAACCTTGGAGGACCTCGCTCGTGATCACGCTGCCGTCTGGAAGGAAGAGGACGAGTCTCTATTAGCTGACTTTACGGAAACTACTAAATGTCGTCGAGCAGGCGGGACTTCTTCGACATGATTACGCGGAGTTATTCAAACATTGTCTCTTAGCTTTCTATTTCAATAAGACGAATATATCTCCCGTGTAAAATATCAGATTCTTAAATTTTTCCGCAAGTAATTGAGCAAGAACTATCGATCTATGGATATTTACAAAGTTCAGAATTTCCTAATAGCACTATCCAAAAAATTTGGATACAAATGTGAGTAGTTATTTCCGACACATTGTTGATCGCTGAACATGAATCCGTTGTCCAAATTTTCACTGAAAGGAATTATTCGATAAGAAATTAACAAATGGATATTTCCGATCAAAATAACAATGAAATTTGCATCCGATCAGGAAACATTCGATGAGAAATGTGGATTCATAATTTTTTGATCGGTTTATCTGATGAAATGCTATTATAATCGGAAATATTCAATTTAATCGGATATCCTAATCGGATATAAAAATTTATCGATATTTCCGATTGCAAATATTCGTTTGTTAATTTTTTATTAAATAATTTCTCTCACAGCTATCACGTTACAATTTTGAGAAAAATCGAGCCGAAAAAAGAGCTAAAAACGATCATTTTAAAGAATTTCATAGAGTGGTAGAACTTTTTTTTCTAAATTTCATTAATTTCACGTGAATGAACTTTAAGTTTTAAAGCGATTTTTCGTTTTGGGAGATATAATTATTAAAAAATAGCTCTTTTGTCCTGTAATAAATGAAAAAAATATTTAAAAATTTTTATCTCCACATTGTGTAGAACATAAATGCTTTTTGTACTTATATAATATAATCGGAAAATACTAAATAAAAAAGCAAGATTCTCTTCAACAATTTCACATATGCGTTTGTCCATAATATAAACTATGTTATCAAACGACTAGAACGTCATGCGAACGACCTTGATACCGACGGCATAGTGGATTATCCAGTTAATTTTTATATCACGGACAACCTTGAGACTGGAAATCCAAGTTCGTAACGAGCTTCGTATGGGCGCTTGAATGAATGCATCGTTCGCAAAGCGCAGCTGCGTATTGCTTCAGTCAATGCACTCAGACTATATTCAGTAATTTTATATATCTTAATGGTCTTATAATTATTATATTAATTAATAAAATGTTATTGCCTAGTTATAATAGGGAATTATTGTTTTGCATTATCAAAATGTCCCTAAATTATTCTATAAATTAATATGATTGATATTAATTTACAAAGTAGGGCAAATAAATTGTCAAAAGCACTAAATATTGATATGACAAAGTCATAATATCGTGAATAATGTGTATGTGATTTGTCCTTTGGGTCACATGTGTGACAAAAGAAGCGTATCCGACAGGCACGACGTCACATCTCGGCGATGTAGAGAGTTATGGAACACAAAACGGTAACTAATTCTACCACCCACATGGCATGCACTCAGCAATCCGTGAAAGGTCATTAACGTTACCACTAAGTGGTCTCAGGGGACAGGTGTGACGATGATAGGTGGGATCACCCGCGGACAACACTATCGTTTGCATTCTTCTTTCATGTGTATAAGACGCGTTTTATATTTATATTTCTCTCGGCCAGCGCGCAAAAAGATTTATGTAATCGCTGTAAGATGTAATTTCTATTATATCTTTGATATTTTTTAATCTTGAAAAATTAGAATAATTATTTTACATCAGTAAAACATTTTCCTAGAAAAATCAAGATTTTTTCAAGGATTGGGGAAAGATAGACTTTTTTAATAGTTTTGCACATTTCAATATTATATTGATGGAAAAAAGTCATTTTTCTATTAAAAGGGGGTGCTAAAATGTAGATGACAAACTCTAAAAAAGTATTATTCAAAATTTTTTTAAACATTGTTATATCTTTCAACTGAATTTAGAAACTTAAAAACATACGAAAAGTTCGCAGAAAGATTTCTATGTATGCGTGGTTGTATATTTTCCGCTAAATGTGATAATTTTATTAGAATAGGGTAATTTTGTTCTTTTATTTTATTTGTAACACTTTTATTTTATTTTATTTTATTTTATTTGTAACAATCACAACTTATCTTTTTGTATCAAAATAAAATAAATTACTGAAAAATATCCAAGGAATATAATAGTCTGTGTCCCACGGTATGCTGATCAAAAGATACCAACGTTACAGTTGTGGATCCAGTAAATTGCGATCGGCCAATCAGTGCAACTTCTGGTGATTTTTTTCTTCAATCTTTTTGGGATTCCCCTTCTTCTTCTTCTCTCTTTCTCTCTTTCTATCTTGTAAGCATCAACGTGCAAAAAGATCGTAAATTACTTCACGCATGATTCGCAACATAATGATGGTCCAGCCGCGATCAAAGCTCTCCCGTCCAAGTCGTAGTGATCATTAACGAGGAGTACTGTACGTGTATATGCATGTATCCTTTGTGCGATTCGCTAAACCGCGAACATCCTTTTCGTCCGATGAGCCGTGCAACAATGTAGGTAGCGGTTTGAAAAGCTGGTCGAAAGATTTCTGGCAGACGAGATGCGCACACACGACGAATAAAACGTATCCTCCCGGTTATTATTGTCCTGTGGACTATAATTAACCCTTCTCGTTGAACGGCGTTGTGAAAGAGAGGAAGAAAGAGAGAGAGAGAAAGAGAGTGAGGAGAGGGGGAGGTGGAGAAAGAGATGCTCTGCGTTCGGAGGAAACGCATCCGCGTTGCATAAAGCGAGGATCACGTTTTACGAAAACGATCGGTGCGTGTCGCGAAAGCGTAATCACAGCACGTATGAGTGTTTGTCGGCACTTGGAATGTAAGTAGATAGTGCAGTAGTTGTTGATTAAATCTCAGTCCATTGAATAACAGATAGAACACACGTTTTAATGATGAAAGGAAGGGTGGGAAATAATAAATCCTTTATTTAATTTCAAGTAGACGTCACTTCGGACAGACGTTTTAATTCGAGAAATTAAATTCAATAAGATTGCTTAATTGAATTATTAACATTTTCGTAATGTTACATATCGAAAAATCTATATGTTGGTGTGTGTGTATGTGTGTTGAGGAAATGTAGACACGCACAAATAATCGTGATTCAACGCAGGATGTGTTGCATAATCCCTTCGACTTGGAGTTGCCGCGGTAAAATGAATCGAGTTTGAAAGAACGGTACCGGTAATACCTTTCTTTTTTCTTTTACGAGCGCGTAAATTCCGGATGTTATTAATTGACCGATGGACAATTAAAGCCGGCGTGACGGCACGAAAACCTCAAGCTGAGCCGCGTACACGTAACGAAAGAAATAAATAGGAGCGCGAGTAAGAAAGAACGGTCAGGCTTGTGTGCAATTTTATTAAAGCGCGTCCTCGACGGGGCCACGAACGACGGAAGTGGGATCAAGTTTTTCCCACAAACCTTCCTCAGAGAAAGAGAGAGAGAGAAAGAGAGCGGGCACCTGTGCACCGGCGTACCTTTGTAAACACGTGTTATCCCACCGAAGGTCTACGTGATTAACGCACTGGCCACGATCAAGCGGCAATTGAACAGAACTCGTCTCAATCCTTTTGCCACGCTCATCGTGGAATTCTCCACGGGAGAGATCGCTGAAATGAAGCCCTTCGCGGAACAAAACGCAATCCTCTGGCATCCCTTTCCGGAGACTCAAATATTATTTTCGGTTGGATGCCTTGCTCCTTTAAGGTAGAGCAGTAAAAATGCTTCAAAATAAATCAGCAAGAGAAGAATTTTATCGATAATGCTGGTCAACACATATAATTTGTCACATGAAACTGTCTCTCTAATATGTTTCTTATTATATTATATTTATATATGTAGAATCTGAAAATAAATTTCATATCCATAGATTTGTGATGGTCATCTGGAATTTAATAAGAGAGAAAATTTAATAAGAGAGAAAATAACCTAACTTAGAAAATTTCGCGTATCAATTTGCGCTTTGGTTGTCTCGCAGCGATTATTGGTTTCCCCGATCGGTTCGATCACTGAGTTACCATCCTGCATAAATATAACTTGTTTTCACACATTTCGATCATAAAAAACAAAGATATAATAAAAATTAGTATATTTTTTATTTTTAAAAGAAACATATATAGAGAATCACTAGCTACAATATTTTTAATTTACACAAGTTCGTTATACACTGTCCAACTTTCTGCATTTGCGACGATGGAATTAACGGCTTTCGTATGCATTGCATAGGACGACACTTTATGTCTGCAAACTGCATCAATAATGAGAAGTCGTTAAGTGATCCTGTCAACGACATTGGACTGATTATATGCTATGAACCATCAGTTATGAATAGCACATCAGTGAAGAATACTGAGGCACTAAGATACTGATTGTACCTTAGAGACTACTGTTTAACAAAACATTAAAATAAAATTGAAGCTGCAGTCGCCGAAAGATTGCCGCAATTCCTGAGTTGAATTTCTCGCCGTGGCAACGTCTTCGCGAGGTTTCCGGCGCTGCTGGTAGCCGCTGCTGCTTCGCCATGCAGCGCTTGTGCCGTGCACCACATACGTAACGTTAATTTATCTTCGTGCGTAATTTCCGCCCTAATGGGCGCCATCAATATGACAGAAGGCGCAGGGAAATCGGCGCGGGCAATCTCGCGCGATCGTATTCAATGTCTTCGCATGTTCAAGGGACGTATCTCCGGGCGACGAGCGGAGCGCGCAGCTTCGCTCTTCTTCGGGGGTACAGGAGGATGCATTCCTCGTGCGCAACCGCCTATAGGTATGAGTGGCCGGCCGGCCGATGCGGCGCAATTACTCGGGAGACTTTTTGATTCCGGTAGGAGGCGTTTCTCTCATTCTTTCTCGCGTGCATGCGTCCGCGCGCGCTTCACCTTATCGCTCTCTTTCATCTACATAAAGGACGATCAACTGCCCCTCTTACGTGACCTTCATTCCCTACTGCATCCTCAGACTGCAACTTTAACCG